GAGGCTGAGATCATTGGAATGGCCTGACAGGGGTAGACATTCTAGGGGGACAAAGTGGTCACAACTGAGCGAGCCCCATGGACTGCATGCACCATCTCAGATTTTGAGAACGCTGTGGATGCCCACATGTGTCATAATCAGGAAAGCCCCCAACACCTCATCATGATGCAGACTCTCTGGAGCATCTCAATATGGCCCATCCTCCCTTGAACAGGATTTAGGTTACCTGCTGCTAGCTTCTTTTTGTGCTGATATGAGTGAAGGGTCCGGTGGTCGAGTGTGCCTTCCCTGTCCTCATGTCCAGGTTCTTTCATGTTCCTTGTAGTGAGGTCAATAGTGGCCCCTCAAAATATGTGTGCAAATCCTAACCCATGGAACCTGTGAATGTGAACTTATTTGGAAAAAGAGTCTTTGCAGATGGCTTTAAGTTTTTGGAGATGAGATCATTTTGGATCATCCAGGTGGACCCTAAATTCAATGGCAAGTATGCTTACAAGAGAGAGAAGGGGAGAAGACACAGACATGGAGAAGAAGCCATGTGAGGACAGAGCAGAGATTGGACTCCTGCAGCCACAGCCAAGAATCACCTGGAGCCACCAGAAGCTGAAGAGGCAAGGAAGCATTTTCCCCCAGAACCTTCGGAGGGAACATAGCCCTGCTGACACCTTGATTGCAGAATTCTGGCCTCTGGAAGTGAGAGAGAATCAATTTCTGTTGTTTGAAGTCACCAAGTTTGTGGTAATTTGTTACCGCAGCCCCGGGAAACTAATATATTCCTTAATGTGCAACCCCATTTCTTTCAGGAGGCACGAAATTAGCTAAGTGACAAAGGAGCGATTCCCTGTGAGCTATCACTGCACGGACATATAGTCTGTTCCTCCCCGTCACAGTGCTCACTGGGAGCCCCGTGCCTGCTCGCTCTCACCTGAGATGATCCAGCCACAGTGCATCCCTTGTAGGGGATTTGCAAGACAGTGTGCCTCCACTGTGCATGGTGGTTTCAATCATACATCTTATAATTGTAGCAGATTAGAAGACTCTTTTGAAATGCTTTCCCATTTTTTTATCAAATGGTCCTGAGTGCTCAAGAAGGCCTTTACGTAACATATGGCTAACTTGACAAGGATCAGTTAAACAGCTCACTCAAGAACTAGGACCAAGGTTTTTCAACTTGGACCAGCGCTCCTACCCTCCTGGGTGACAGTCCACACCTGGGACAAGGAGGAAGCTGTGAGGTGATAGGAAATCTGCTGCCATGTTTAAAACCAAAAGTATCACAGGCTCCTTCATTTTGATTTGATGAATTAAATGCCTTGTGTGCTGAGCCCCTCAGAAAACTGAAGAGTAAGACGTGGTGCTTCTCAGTCTTTCCTGTGCATATGAATTAGTGGGGCATCTTATTAAGATGCAGATTCTGGCTCAGTAGGTCTGGGGTGGAGCCTGAGATTCTGCGTTTTTTACAAGCTCCCTGGTGATAGCTGTGCTGCTGGTTTGTGGATCACACTTTGAGTAACAGTGAGACGGAGCCACTGACTAATTTGTTCACATGGTCTGCAGGAAACAAACTGGCATGCTTGCCCTTTGCGATTTAGTAGTAGGCATCGTGGCTCTGAGTTTCCATTGCAGAGGGAATTGTGACACTCAAGCTGGCAGTGCTCAGGGGAAAGTTTCATTGTGGATCAATAACCATAAAAGTAGCTATACGTTTTGGCCCAGTAATTCCGCTTATGGTTATTAATTCTAAATAAATAACCCAAAAGATGGAAAAATCTCTGTGAACAATGGTGATCTCCTACAGCACTATGTACACTAAAAAAATTAAAATGCAAAGCCTGCGTCTAATATAAAGGAAATGATTACATAAATTATAATTAATTCACTCAAGACAGTATTGTGGACACATATTTATCTTCTCTCCCTCTCCAAAAGCAACATGTCAGTCAAGGAATAAAAATGATATGAACTCACAAGGTCAACAAATTAATGGATGAAGAGTTTCAACAAATTTTTCCAAGATCAAAAGTGTAGGGAACTGAGGAACACAGCCGTAGCCCTCTGTCTCTATTTGTAATGTACTATTTTTTTTGATTGGGTGGTGAGTACAAGGGTGATATTCTTACAATTTTTATACATTTCCATATGCTTGAAATATTTCAAAATTTAATTAAAAAGAAAGTGGATGGGGACAGAGTGAAGAACATTATAAGCTACATGTTAGAGGTGTGAGTATTATCAAAAAGCCAATTTGCCCACCAAAATCTGGCCTTGGCTCCTGAAGGCACCAGGCACCATGGAAGGCAAGAATTGGGCATGGGCCTGACCCCAGAGGGATGGATAAAGTCTGTTTCTGGAGCCCTTAGATCCTTAGATCGCTGCCCCACTAGGAAACCGTCTCTCCTCACTTACTCCCACCACAGGAGATGGGCAGTTTATTCTCCAGAGAAATTGAGCCACCTCAGCTCAGAACTCAAGCACATCACATCATAAAGGACCAGCCGAAAGCAAGGGAGTTAGTGGAAGATCCACACGCTGACCTGTGGGACCCTCGCAGCTCCCCCGCCCTGCTCTCAGCCCTGCAGGAGCCAAATAGTATGCCCACAGGCGAGAGACTGGCAAACTACAACCTGTGGGCCAAATCCACTCCACTCCACTCCCTGCTTTTGTAAATAAAGTTTTATTGGAACACAGTCACATGCATTCACTCATGAATTGTCTACGGCTGCTTTTGTGTTACCACAGAAGAGCTGAGTGGTTGCAGCAGACACCATCTGGCCTGCAAAGCCTAAAGTATTTGCCATCTGGATCTTGCAGAGAAAGCTTGCCTACCCCTGCTCTAGAGAAAAATAGATGTCCCCAGAGGAAAGACCCCAGATAAGCTGCCTTGTGACCTGACGGTGAGGCCCCTCAGTTGGCAAGTCTTGTCCCCAGACACCCTGAGCCTCTAAACAAGTGTGAGTACCTCACTCAAGCACAAATGGATGTCCAGAGATTTTCCAGACACTCAAGAGAAACCCCAACGTGAAGGAGTGTGATCAAAGCAAACAAACAGAAAAAGGGACTTGGAGGAACCAAAAACTATTCAAGAAACAGATGAAACTGAAATAAAAATATAGAATTAATACCCTGAGAGAGAGGAAAAGATATTTCATCCATAAAACAAGAACTAGATACCATGATAAACAAGAGTGAACTCTGAAAACTGAAGAAAGCAATAGCCCAAATTTAAAAAAATAAGTAGAAAGATCAGAACTGTCAAACAAAAAAACTAAAAGATGAAAAATGGCAGGGAAAATTAGATTATCAATTCAGGATGCCCAGCATTTAATGAAAAAGAATTATAGAAAGGGAAAACGAAGGATATGAAATTAGCAAAGAAATAATATAATATTTCTGGGAAATATTTTTTTATCTATTGCATATTGTACCCAGCACAGTAAATAAAAACAGTGAGCAAAGGCCCCGATTTCATAGCATTATATTCAGAGCAAATTTCAGAGCATTAGAGCATAATAAAAAGAATAAAGAATAAAAAGAAGATTCTGTGTTTCCAGAAAGAAAAGACACTAAACAAAAGAACAAGGATTAAAATGGATCCAGAGTTCTCAATAGTAACACTGGATGCCCCCAAAAAAGGAGGCAATACCTTCAAAATTCTGAAGGAAAATGATTTTTAACCTGGGGTTCTATGTCCAGCACTATCAGTCAAGTATAAAGGTAAAATAAAAACATTTTTAGACCTGCAAAGACTTGAAATATTTAACTCTTATCCATCCTTTCCTAGGAAACTACTAAAGGATGTGCTTCAGCACAACCAGGGAGTAAAACAAATAGACAGACATGGAATCCAGGAGGCAGGGACTCCAACACTGAAGTGAAGGAAGCCCCACGATGATGATTTTGCATCAAGTTTATAAAGAAAACAGTCTAGACTGGAGGAGGAGGACTCAAGACTTTGGGGAGAGGGCCTTCGGGAGACAGGGAGACAGAACTGAATGATTCTCTGGTGTGTTTAAGATGTGGAAAAATTTTGCTACATGTTTTACAGATTTGTTAGAACACTTGCAAAAGGTAGTATGATACTTAGCTCAGTGGGAAACAATTTTTATCCAGATTAGTAATGTGGACACTGACTATTGATTTAACAAAAATTATTCTGTGTCTAATTGGAAGATCATGGGAGGAACTGGTGAAGGGAGAATTGGGGCTCAGTAAGTAGAAAGTTAAATCTTTATTAAAACTGATAATCAAGTTTATAAAAACAGCTATACAAACATATCATTTAGAAATATATGAGTACATGCCAAAAGAAACAGAAGGGTAGAAAGTGAATGACTCTGTGAGAAGAGATGGGAGGAAAAAAAATTTCTGTTACTTTTTTTGTATGTGAAATCATTTAGTACTATTTTGTTTTAACTATTTACATGCATCTTAATAAAAATAATTTTTTTAAAAAAAATTATGTGGCCATTTAAAGTATAACTAGAAAAACTAAGTTGCTGTGTGGAAAAATGCTTATGATGTGTTAACTTCTTTTGGGCTGCCAGGCTTTTAAATCTTTATAATAAGGAAATCCTCTAGTTGGGAATGCTGGGCTGGCAGCCTGGAGGAACTGTTGTGTCCTCAGTGTGCCTCACGTGCCTTGAGATCTGTAGTCTACGTCAGAGGGCGATACACAAGCAGGTTTGGACCAGTGTATCATAAGGTCAGCATAACCGGGGAAGGATGCACTAAGGTTCAGGGAGAGGTAAGTGGGAAGAAGATATAAAATGTAGATGTTTATATATTATGCCTGCAGAAATGCAAAATGATGTGCTCATCATCATGAGAAGGGCACAAGGACAAATGAAAACAGTTCAATTTGTTGGAAGTGGGAGGGAGTGGTGGTAATTTCTTCCCCTTTAATTTAGAATTATATTAAGACTGATATAATGTTTGTATAAAACAGAACAGAAGTTTTTATAGGAAATCAGTGGCATTCTTGCTTTGCTTCCCTCCTGCAGCTTAATTGCTTACACTGAACAGTATGTGGAATATGATCCTTTGATCACACCAGCCGAGCCATCCAATCCTTGGGTCAGCGATGACATCGCTTTATGGGACATAGAGATGAGGTAAAAAAAAAAAAAAAAAGTGTTAATGTTTGGGAGTTGGAGGGATATAGAAAACAATTCATGAGATCGTGAGCTTGCATTATTCCCTATCCTAATTTGAGTTTTTTTATTGCTAGAACAGAAACCTCTCAAGTAACCTCCCAGCCAAGTTCTGCTTACTCCTGGTTTCTACCTCCTTATAGCTTTGGTTTGTACCTGGATTCTTTGGGGCTTCCCTCTGACCTCTCTCTGCCCCTTTGGGTGTAGTGATAACTGGGAGAGTGCCTCACATTTCTAAGTTCTGATTGCTGGAGGGAAAGAATCTGTTGGCCGATTTGTTATTTTCATGTTAGACAGCAGCAACAGCAATAACTAGCACTGACTCATTGTTGGCCACAAGTGTCTTACATGGAATCCCCAAAACAGGGAAACAAAATTATTCTCACCATTGAACAGATGTGGAAACTGAGGCACAGAGAACTTGCTCAAGGTCACACAGTGAGTAGGTGACAGAGTCAGGGTTAGAACCCAGGCAGAGGGCTCCAGAGCCCTGGTTTTCATTGCTCTGCTTTTCTGGAGTGACTGGCAATGAGAATTCCATCCAATAGCTCGTCACCTGTGAGGGAAGCGCGTGTGTTTATTTAATAGCTGAGGAACCGAAGCCTGGAGGGACCTGGACCACATTCACAATTACAGAGGGAACCGCTCCGACAAGGCTGGTGTGATGTGCCTTTGTACCCTCTGCCCCTTGGCTAGATGACTTTTTACTTCGTTTTTCATTTCTTTATCTCTCTCTCATTTGCTTTCACTCTTGTTCTTTTTCTGGCTTCTTTTCTTGAAATGGAAAAACCTTATAAAAAGTAATAGAAGTCAGACGCTTATTATAAAAAGTTCAAACTATTCATACGTGCGTAACGAAGAAAATTCTCTCTTCCTCCAACCCAAGCTCCCTCCCCAGAAAGAACCTTTGTTTATAGTCTAATGCCGTGGTTCCCAAACTGCACCGGGGCACCCTGGGCGGCGGCAGGGCGCTCACAGGGTAGTCTGAATCTTTGAGAGACACACAGTGATGTTTGACATTAGCCAGATGCTGCGTGAAGCACTGGCTTAAGGGAGTTCACCATCTTCTTAGATCACGTGACATTCCTTTCCGTGATGTCATATCTTTGCAAATCTGAGTTTTCAGGGCAGTTGCTGTGATAAAAAGCAAATACTGTGCAAAAATCAAGATGTAATAGGAAGTGAGGGTGGAGGGGTCCAATCTGATCCCAAAGTTTGAGAAGACGTGCAGAGCTCAACAGTGTACATTATGGTTATTTAAGAATGAACTAAACGTTATTTTTTCTTTCAATTCATATGTATTTCAAATAGCTACTATGTTTTAGGACATAAATACATATTAAGTCCTTCAGACCTGACTTTAATAAACAAAGCTGTTTGGTATTTTTTTGCTCCAGGGGCACTGTGAAAAACTTACCGAGACACTTAGGATTCCGTGAACTCAGAAAGTTTGGGAACCTTTGATTTAGTGTCAATCCCTTTAGATTTGTGTGCGTATACAATAGCATATTCATAGAAGGTTCATTATATATATAGGTTCTTTATGTACACATTGTCCCATAATTTTTAATTAACAATATATCATGGTACTCCTTCCATGTAAACATGTTAGATCCACCTTATCCTTTTTAATAGCTACATAGTGTCCCCTTGCATGAGTGTAGTATAATTTATTTAACCAATCCCAAATCATAAATATTTAGGTTATGTCTTCTTTTTTTTTTTTGCTAATATAAACAATGATGCAAGGAACATCTGTATACACAAGTCCAATTATTTCTTTAGGATAAATTTCCAGGGGTGGAATCACTAGGAAATGTAGGCGTATTTTAATTTTGGTTCATGTGGCCAGATTCCTCTTGAGCAAAACTATAACAATGTTTTTTCATTCCTGCAGCTTAAAGGTGCCATTACCCGACATGCTCACCAACCCAAGCATTATCAATCTTTTTATTCTTTACAAATCTGATAGATTAAAATAAAAATGTCATTTTACTTTTCATTTCTGTGCTAATATACTTGAGAACCTTTTCTCGTGATTATTAGGTATTCATTTTTCTTTTGTGACTTGACTGTTTTTGTGTTCTTTGCCATTTTTTCTAATGGTGTGTTTAGGATACAAACAATCCTAACTCTGTGGGATATAAAACAGTCACATTTACATGGATCACAGATTTTATCTTTTTCCAGATATTTTCTGTTTTCTGAATCTCATTCTTTCTTCTTGTTTCTTTTACTCTCCCTTGACTTTTGCTTTATTAATCAAATTTTGTATTAGCTTTTGTTACTCTAGTTTCTAGTCGTCATATTTACTTTTAAATGTTTTAATTTAAAATGTTACTATTTCATGCAAATAATAATGAAGTATGTAAAATAAAAAGTAGAAGTCTAGTGGCCAGCCCCATGGCCAAGTGGTTGAGTTTGCATGCTCCACTTTGGCAGCTGGGGGTTCGCCAGTTCGGATCCTGGGCACAAATATACACACCGTTCATCAAGCCATGCTGTGGCGGCATCCCACATAGAAGAACTAGAATGACCCACAGCCAGGATAGACAACTATGTACTGGGGCTTTGGGGAGAGAAAAAAAAGAGGAAGAATGGCAACAGATGTTAGCTCAGGGCCAATCTTCCTCACCAAAAAGCATACTTCAAAAAAATAAAAATAAAAAGCAGAAGTTTCCCTTTACCTTCTTTAAATTCCATTCTTCCCCACAGCTATTTTAACCTGATATATTTTAAACTAATATTTTGAGACTTAAATTTCTCTGTCAATATTAAAAGAAAAATAGTATGTAGATGTGTATCTTTTTTCTACTATTTTTGACATGTCCTAGGCAGTCCCTTTAATCTGATCTTTCTTTAACTCAGGGTCTTTTCTTTCCTTTCTTTTGTAAATTACTGCTACTCTTTTTTCCATTCCATCCTGTCTTCTCAGGAAATCCTTTTGTAGGAATTCCAGTCATCTGGGATGTAGCAGCCATATGTCTTACCTTTTTTCTATTGTAATTTCCATGTCTTAGTCTTTGTATTTCGTATTTAAGAATGGAATTCCTTAAATTACTCTCCAGAGTCACAGTTTGGTTTTCAGTGGTATTCACTGTGCAATTTCATACTTTAACTAACGAGTTTTTCTTTTCCTCCTGAGTGTTGGGAGGGGTGGCTGACAATCATGCTTTTTGTTTCCAAGAATTCTTAATAGTTCTTGGTCTGCTTTTTCTTATAACCTGCTCTGTCCTATTGATGTTTACCCTCTTGCGTCCCCCTGAGGGTGGGATACAGATTTTTTTCTTTCATATTTCCCTCTATTTCTGCCACTTAGTCTGTTTCACAGGGGGTCATTGATCAGAGAACCGTTGTTTCTGGTGATTGTTTCATCACCCTAGTCACTGTCAGAGCACATCAGTCTTTTCATATACCCGGCAATTTGGGGGACTGCTGGCTTTTGTAGATGAAAGTTTTGGCTTTCAGCCCTGGCCATGCATTAGAACCACCTGGAGAGTTTATTTTTTAAAAATACCAATGCCCAGTCTCCTCCCCAGGCCAATTAAATCAGAATTTCTGGCAGTGGGCATGGGTTTTTGTTTTTTAAATTTCTCCAAGTGATTCTAATGTGCAGCCCTGGTCCAGATGGACTATATCATAGCTGGTGACGGCTCCCTCAGCGGTTTTGTGAGTCAGTGGCTCTCAAACCACAGGATGCATCAAAATCACCTGGGGAGCTCTTAAAAATCCAGGTGCCCTTGGGCGGTCCTGGGTTTTAGCCAGCATTCTAGGTGATTCTGAGGCACAGCACAAGTTTGAAAGGTCCTGGTATAGTTCACAGAGTACCCCCTCCCTGCTCCAACCTGGACGGGTTTTTCTCTGAGCGGTTCACATGGCTATAGGGCTTGACCTGAGTGTTAATGGGAGGACACAAGTCAATGGGCGGAGTTCCCCTCTGGGTCCTGGGTTTGTGATCCAAGAACAGACTGAGAGACTGGGTCCTCTCTCAGAGAAGGACAGGTGGCTATGGGGGTCCGTGGGTGGTAGAGCCCCACCTTCCCTTAGCATGACATCCTGCAGCTGGGTGGTCTGCTCCGTGTTTCAGGCCATTTTGGGGTTTTCAGAGTTCTTTGTTTTCCTCTCCATGGTACTCCCCAATAAGTCCACTCTTCTCCCTTCTGCTGAGGAATCTTAGGGGAACCCAGTTAGATCTGCAAAAGCCAAGAAGTAGGGGAAAAGCTGAGTGTCTTTAAAAGTCTGCTGCTTTTCCCAGACACTCCTCCCCTCTATATTTGCTGCTCCACCCCGAGGTTACAGAGGCACTGCCCTCTGGTTTGATTGCCCATATTAGAAGCTGGCCAGAAAACACCCCCCTTTAGTTAGGAGACCTTTCTGCCGCGTGGAGCCTGTGTTCTGTACCTCTGACATTCTTCATGTGCCCCCTGTCCAATGCCTCTACTTCCCATCCTGCTGCTCAGGTCTTGGGGTTTCCCCAGGCTTCTGTGGGGGACACCCAGCTACTTTCTTCTCAGATGGCCCCACTGGAATCATAGGTGGCTCTTGATGAGCTTTTTCACCAGTGTAGTCCACCTGCTTCATACCTTCCTGAAATTCCTCAAAGTTTGTCTTCTGCTGATAGGAAATTTCTTTGCCTCTATAGACTATGAGGTCTTTTTTCATATTTCACTGAACTCCAGGCACTTGCCTGTTCCCTCTTCCCCAGGTCCTCAGATGGCTGGCTTCCCTTCTCATTCAAGTCTCACTCTGTGCTGGTGTCCCTTCTCAGAAAGGTCTCTGTGACCATTCAATCTATAGAGGCCACCCCATCCATCCAATCATTCCAGATCACATCCTCTTCCTGGTTCTCTCCCTAAAGAGGACTTAAAATTGTTTTATCCCCTAGACCTGTCTCTGGCACACAGGATACACTCAAAAAGTATAGGTTGGATGAAGGATGGATGGACAAGTGACTATTTCTT